GTGCGTGAAACTCGGAGTAAAAACACTTTTTTTCATCCTCGTATTCTTGTTGTAACATCTGTGGTCTTACAATACCCTGGTGATTGTCCATACGTGAACATATGCTGGAGATACTGTTAAGTTGAGGTTTGTTGTGGTAAGAGGCCAGAGTTTGAGGCACATTCCTGTGTGTACTTAAGTAGCTGGCTGGCCGTATGGGAGTTTTCGTCCGTCAAGAAATCAGTTATCTTTGTGTTGTATCTCCCACTGTGCATATTGCGAGGCCAGTTCATGCTTAGTTGCTGGTCTGAGAGTGTCTGTGTGGTGCCAGAAGTGCAGCTCCGGGGAAGTGGACTGGAAATAGCTTTTCGTTTGTCGGTGTACATGCCTGGTGTGTGTGTGTGTGTGTGTGTGTGTGTGTGTGTGTGTGCTTGCGTGTATGTGTGTGCACACGTCCATTCGTGTGCATGCGTGCGTGCGTGCTTACGTGTGCGTGTGTGTGTTTTCATGTCCGTGTGTACACATCACTCGCACACATTTGCGTATAGGTTGACTCTGCAAACGTGCTGTTCGACCGCCTCCCATCCTGCTTGCTCACCTACCAACTAGCCATCTTTTACTACTGCTTGCACGTCTATGCCCGCTGTGAGGTCATCGTCAACAGCAGTAGTGCTGGCAAGGACACTTCGCAGGCTGACAATAAGAAGCCTGACAAGGCAGCAGCTGCAGGCGGAAAGTCGAAGAAGGCACAGCGGGCCGCGAAGCAGGCGCCAGCGCAAACATCTAGCTCTGCTCTGCCGTTGTTGAACCGCGCATACAGCAGCTCCCCTGGCGAGATTGTCCAGTGGGTGCTCGATAAGAGCGGGCAGGTTGGTGAAAAGACAGACTCGGGTGACCTCAATTGTGCTGATCTAGAGCGTATGCGTACCGAGGACCTTGCTGGTGGCTTGCGGATCTATCGGGATCGACTGGCAGACTTTGTGCAGGCTGGTATCTTGAGAGAGTTGGACGATGGTAAGCTGACATGTGCGCGCGTGTGTGTGCGTGTGTGTGCGTGTGCATGCGTGCGTGGATGTGTGCGTGTGCGAGCATGTGTGCATGGATATGTGTGCGGACGGGCGGGCGTGAGTGCAAGCCTGGACGCGCGAGCATATGTATGCATATGTACATCACCGAGTTGACGAGATTTGTCACACGACCTTCCTCTCATCACTCGTGTCACCTAGCAACCTGTCATTGAGTCGTTGCCCTCTGGCCTGTCAGGGGCGTCGGACACGGTACGGTCACTACGGTATTGACCGTATTGACCGTACCACTTTTGGCCCCAGTCACCCCGTAAATCAATAAAACACACTGATCTGGGGTATAAATTTCCAATTTTTTCGGTTCAGCAATCCCTCCCACACGCGTAAATTGTACTTCAGATGGCTGAGCGTACCACACTATAATGCCTTCCGCCGACGCCCCTGCCTGTGTATCTGATGTTTCAGGCATTGATGCAACGCGCTTTACGACCGACACCAGCTACAAGCGCGAGGTGATTCTGTCGCTGTCGCGTCGCCTGGACGCCCAGTCGGTGAGCACGGCCCTGTCACTGAGCCGCCGCTATGACCTGGGCGAGTGGCCGGTGTACATGGAGCATGCCATCTTCCTCTTCAACAATAGCCAGTAAGTGCCTGTACTGTATTGTGTAATTGAAGTACGGTGCTGGCAACTGAAATCCAACCCCTGGGCGGTGTGTTCACATTCTTGCGGTCTCTATTTCGTACTGTCACAATCCTGTGTTGGGTCTTTGCCATCTGAGGGGTTGGATTTCACTTGCCAGTACTGTAGTTTGAACATGTTTGTACGCAAAAGCCGTGTATGTGCTGGGCGAACACTAAGGCTGCGTTCGTTTTTAGCTACCTGGTAGAGTAGAGTAGAGTCACTCTATTGATAGAGGTAGACGGTAGAGGTAAGTGCACGAACGCTGTCCCACCGGATTTAGTAGTTTTTCGCACGGAAAATTATTTTTGTACCCCGGAGCCTCTCTATTGAAACTGTTGTTGCTTTGATCATTACTACCACTGTTGCCGCTGCTGCTGCTGCATACTCTATTGTCCCTTTTGCCACTGGTGCAGACTCTCGTGGAACGACATTCACGAACGGTTGACTGGCGAGCGGCTGCCGAGTCGAGATAATGGTGCGGCCACTGCTTCCATCGGCGGCGATACATCGAGCAATCGCGGTACAGCCGTTGTGGAAATTCTTCTATCCGACGCACAGAAGGTAGGTATGGACGGCTGAAGTAGTTTGGTGACTTTTGAGGAGTTTTCCTACTAAAATTTCGTGGGATATGTGATAGCGTTATGTAGCAGCACTTCGTGTGATCCTTACATAGACGTCGGCCGGATGGTGGCATGCCTATATAAGGTCGGAATGTACATGGCAGTCTTTTTGGTTTTGTGTTTCCAGTACTATTGAACCCTCTCTTATCTGAATGCTTCGAGGCTGAATGGTAACTGACTTACTGTACGTACAA